TGTTGCCAGCAGAAGGAAGCACAGCTACACTACACAAAGATCATTTTGAATTTTCATCGTTTTACCTTTTTCTTTTTTTCGTAGTGATCTCTTTACTCATTTTAGTCGTGTGTATGGATTTCTGAAATTACAAATATTTCACATAAACTTCAAATAAAAAATGTGAAAATTTTATAATTCCAACCAAGTTATGAAATATCTAGAGTTTCGGAAATATCGGTAGTCCAAAAACACGGATATATTAATGGAAATATAGAGGAAATATCGAGGAAATAAAAATTGAATAAAAACCAAGGAAATTATGAGAAAAACTTGGAAATTTTTATTGAAACTTTAGAGGATGTTTACTTAGTCAATTATCTATTATTTTATCACAAAACACTGGAAGGAAATGCATTGCATGATGGGTTTGAGTGATTTAAGTTGATTATGTAGTGCGCTAACAAACATTGTGACTCTAGAAAATCTGTTGTAATTAGTGAAAAAAAATAAAAAATAAACATACCATAATTTTTTAGTTATAATAATTTAGTAAAAGGAAAGAATTCGACCAAAAACAAAGATAAGATATATGAGTAACTTAGTACCACATAGAAAGAATTCCTATAAGGTTCAAACTTAGTATCACATATAATGAAAAATATTAAAACTCAATAGTAAATAATAACACAACTCCATAATATATGACCCAAAAAAATACAACTCCATGTTAAAATAATAAATAACATTAAACTGATTAAATTTAGGGGTTTTATTTATTTATTAATATACCTAAAATAGGGGCTAAAATTATATATAAAAAAACACATGGAATGCACTTTAGAAACACACCCAAAACTCATTTATTACATAAGAAATTGATGTTTAAGTTCCTATAAATTACGTGACTGCCATTGAAAGAAGCCCAACACAAAAACTAAAAAAAAACCCAAAACAAGCCCAGCCCAATTTTATAAATAATAATAAATAAATAAAACCCAAACAATTCATTACAAAGAAAACGTCCCAAAAACCGTAGCCGCTTCATTATTTTTTTTCTTCAAAGAACACCACCACACCTACCACTAACGACTGCCTACAAAATCATGAAAAATAAAGAGAAGTAACCATTCAACACAAAAAGCTGAAGAATTTCAAGCAGAAAAAGGTTCAAAGGTAAGACATTTAAAAACCACACCTTTACTGTCACGTTGATTAATGGCTGTAATATTTTAGTCTAGGGTAATAACACTGCTAGTTTACTGTCACGTTGATTAATGGTCGTAATAATGTTCCAGTCTATGGTATTAACATTGCTATTTACTATCATGTTGATTAATGGTTGTAATGTTCCAGTCTAGGGTAATAACATTGTTAGTTTACTGTCATGTTGAATAATGGTTGTAATGTTCTAGTCCTAGGTATTAACACTGCTATTTACTGTCATTTTAATTAATGGTAGTAATGTTCCAGTCTAGGGTATTAACACTGCTATTTAATGTCACGTTGATTAATGACTATAATTGTTGGGCTCGCAAATCTCACGGCCTGGTGCTCCGGGCCAAGGGGATATGCTTCGACACGTGGCGTCCTTCTTTTGGTGTGGTGTAGTTGTGCGCGGGCGTGCCAGCACGGTCTACCGTGCGTTTGAGGGTGATGTGTTTGGTGCGCCTGTTTGAGTTTGACTTCTAATCAAACGATTGTGGCCAAGAGAGGAACTGATCTCGGCCGTCAGGTTCACGGCCTGAGCAACAAGGCCGTTTAGTGGTGGTGTTTCTGGTGGATTCTAGGTGGTGCTCTAGTGCGCCACTGGATGGCGACGGTCGTATGATATATGGGGTGAATGAGAAAGTAACAAAGATGGTGCTCCGGCGCCTTGAAAATCAAGGTTCGTATGATATATTGATGAACAGATTTTCCTTACAAACTATCACTACTCATAGGAAAGCAAGTAAATGTATTGAAAGTGCATTACAAGAAGATAAAGGACAGGAAGATAAATGACAGGAAAATATAATCTGCTCCGTAGGGGGCTTTTGGTTTGGTGTTTGAACCCTTTGAATGTAGTTTGAGCTTGATATTTATAGGAGGAGCTCTGGAGAGATAATCGAGGCTGAAATTCTACATGATGGGTTTGATCAGAGCAAGTGGGTAGTCAAATCGGCATTTGGGATCGTGAAGCATGATGGCGTGACCCCATAAATCCCGGTCGCTGCCCTGATCGTGGGTTCCGCTTTGGCCGTGGGGACGCATTTAATGCTCTGGTCTGATGGTTGGTAACCTGACCTCTCAATTTGTAAGAATGTTTGTGCCTAACCACTCTGATTTTCCTTACCATATCCTGACTCCAATCACTTCCCTCATTCCCTCGTGCATTAAATACTTTTTTGCAGCTAGTGGGTTTCGCTGCAGTAGTCAGAGGCGTTACTTCATTAAATGGGGCGTGGGATCCTGATGCCACTTGGTTTTCCCACTTTGGCCGTGTATATGAGGAATCTGCCCTCGGCCAATTTTTTACCGAGGCCGTCGTGGCATTGATTTACAAACTCACTTGTCTTATAAAGGAAGCGAATGATGCCTTGACCGTCGATAGATGCTCGGGCCGAGCTGTTAGTCCTTCGGTCAACTTTCTTGGTCGAGACTTATTAGGCACAAACAGTAATGTTCCAATCTTGGGTAATAACATTGCTAGTTTACTGTCATGTTGATTAATGGTTGAAATATTCCAGTCTATCAGATTAACACTGCTATTTACTGTCATGTTGATTAATGGCAGTAATCTTGAAAATTGGCAAGATTTTAGAACAAGAAATCGAAAGTGAAATATTGAAAATTGTACATCAGAGATGAAGAATATAGTTGTACCTAAGACTGAGCTGATCGGTTCATAATTGTATATCATTTTGTACCCTTTTAGCTTATGATTTGGTTATGTTATTGAGATAAACTTGTGCTTTTAATCCATTTTCTGTTTTGATAAGTCCATAATTTCATACACTTGCTTGCCTTTTTTACTTAGTGATTTTGCTTAGTTTCTCTTTATTTTGAGTCACTTACCTCTATTTGTGTGTTTTGTAGGTTAAGATAGCAAGAGATCACATTTGATGCAATCCATGCATGTTAAGGGCTGATTGGCAAAGAGCAAGAGCTTAAAGACAAAACCAAAGTTGGGCCACACTTCTTGTCAGTCCAGTTTCGTAAGTCACCTTGCAGGTCTCATTTCAGCAATCTGCACAACTCGGATGAGGAGACATTCTTCATAGAAGTTGTTCAATTGGGTGTGCTATACTACCAAACGGCTCGTGCACTTGCGAGTATCACAAGTTGAGGATGCAGCTGAATCTATTTTGGTGCAGCTGAATCGAAGCAACATGAGCTTCAATGGAAGCACCTCTTGCTCCAACACCGAGAAAGCACCAGCGAGAAAGGAGAAAATGAATATGATTTGGTTTTTTGGCAATTTAATATTAATATCAAAATCTACAACTGGTATATCTGATTTTTCTCTCTCAAATTCATAGTACAAGGGCAATATAGGTATTTTACACACACAAATAAACTAAAAAATAGCTATTAAATTGAAAAAAGTAACAGCTGTCAATTTTTGAGTTTTTTTTGGGTGTATTTATAGTTTCTAAATGGTATATGGTTTCTTTATAAGACTATCTCTAAGATTGGGTATATAACTAAATTTGTATTAAATTTATCATAGGGAAATTTATCCTAAGGAATCTTACAATAATAAGTAACATTAAAATTAGCTTGTAGAAAGTTTACAGACATTATAAATTTTACATGTTGTAGCTTATGATTACAAACTCATCCATAGCGTGTTGGATAAGTCTCGTTTGGAAGCCCAAATCAACCTAGACCAAAATATTTAAAAACAAAACAAAAGAGAAAGGGAAAGCTGACAAGCAGAGACAGGTCTTTACAGTTTACAGTTTTACAATTTACCCCACATAGCTATGCTTTGTGGTCTCTCACACCACCACCGTCCACCCACCTCAATATCTTGACCCACATAAAAATACGATTAGATCCTTTTATCCTTATTGTCTCCCAAAATTGTTGTTTTTTGTTAGACAACGTTTTTTGCGGGGCACAGAAAAACCCCCACCTTCTACATCATATACGGTTTCAATCATTATGGACCGATCATTTTAGGCCTTCTGGTCATTCAAAATGAAAATACTTGCCTCGTTTCGGAAGTAGAAATTCTTACTCTGCGTGTCATATGTAAAATATCGTTTTCAAAATCATAAAATATCACTTCATTGACAACACAAAAGTTACAAGTGTCATGCTCCACAAGAAACACTTACATGAAACGGCATGGTATATCACGTGTGATAATTTTTTCACATAACAAACTGTAATTGCCTGAAAATAGCAAGAATACAATACTATTCCCGTTTCATACAAGTATTTTTGTCAAAATGGAATTCATGTTGACGCAGATTTTCCACCGTGAAACATCAAATTGTCAATTTAGTGGCACACGTTAAAA